CATTGCAAACCTCGCTCCTATTAACACATTCACCGGCTGCCAGGAGAGGAAGTTAAAATTTTCACCTTTCCATCAACTCTCCTTGCCTGTTGACACCTACTCAAACTCCCACCTCTTCTCCCCCCCTGTTCCTTTGCTTCGTCTGCTCCACAAGTTCCACAAAAGATCATTTCCTTTTCAAATTACAGCAGACCCTTTCACTGACCCAGGGCCATTCAGATAATGCAGTGTGGGAACTGAGAGTGTCTCTGATGAGAGAGAAGAGCAAATGCACTGGGCAGCACTAATGTCTTGTCAACATTATACTTAGAGACTTTATCTATTGGAGCTTTATTGCACAGGGTGGTGAAGTCAGGTTCTTCAGCAACACTATGGTAAAAAGGATTGGCTGATGCTTTCTTCACAGAGAAGAAGCTGTTGGTGTATGTCAATGTACAGTATGTGATGCTGTAAAGAAATCTTCTGATAGGAAGCCCTGACAGAACGTATGAATGATTTGCCGAAGCAGCTTGCTGACTATGTTGTGATTCATAAGCTAATCGCCTCTTAGTCCAGTCAGGCATGACAAACACAGAGAGGAGGACGTGTCAGGTACATGTAGCAAGGCTTTGATATTAGAATTCAAGGTATCTACGTCTTGCCTTGAGCAGGATAATCCCATTATGCCTCAGGTCACAGCAGTACACACACAAAGATGCAAAGCTCACCTCAAAATAAACTGCCTGTAAGTAGAAAGAAATACAAACATGCATCAAAAAAGGCATCACACTGCAACCAAAACTGAATTAAAATCCCCAATTTAGGAAAGAGAAGTAACTCGGATATTGGAAAAAAGAACCCCCATATTAGGTTAGATCAAACAGCAAAGTTTTTCCCAGACAGACTTTTACAGTTCATCCAGCTGTTTGCAAGATCGAGCAGTTTTTCATTACATTCTGTCAGCTTTCATTATAAAATGAGAAAATATAATTTTGCGCGGTGTATCTGACAGTTTTTCAGACTAATTCATCCTGTCAAGAAGATGCCCGGGCAGACCCAACAGATGGTGTTTGTGTAAGTGAGCATTTTGTTTTTCGGTGTACATATTTTGCAAAGTGCAAGAACCTTCAGAGTTCAGTTCTAAATGTGCTCTGTGTTTGTGGTGCCTTTTTATTCATTTATTTACTTTAGGAGAGGGAAACTGCGACTTTAATTGGTTTATATAAGCATAAAACAGATTGTAATTGTTAATTGTTCAAATCATATAAGCAAGCTACTTCAATATTTCATTATGTACACAAGCTTGAACCTGTAAGATGAGCTCGAGCTAATATTTTGGTCTATTATTGGTCTTCCAATAAAATTGGATTGGTGAGTCATTGTCAGCCTCTTCCACAGGGATGTGTACCCATCCCTGACCACAGCTAGAAAATACCATTTTACTAATATTATTTTCTGCTTGAGATAGTCGACCAGAGGATTCTTTCCAGGAAAGAGTTACGGGAGGATTTTAATCAACAGCTTTGGAGGCATCGGTCTGTAAAAATTGCAGTGAAACCAGCTATAAACTAATAACCCACATTCTATAAAACACTTTAAAGAATTCTATTAGCAGAAGATACTCTGGACAAGTTTAATATGCAGGATAATTTAAATGCAATTTTATATTTAATAAAAAAAAAAATTGATGTTTTGAAATAAAGTGAAAACTGTTGTATTTTTGGACGGTATTAAGGCAAAATTAACGAGGCAATATTAATTTATCCACATAAAAAGTATGAATTTATGTATTGGCAGATACAATTCCAGAATTAACTAGTTAAGATCCACCATGTAACTGGAAAAAGCAATTAGAGCTGTCTTGCACTAACAATGTACCTGCTTGTATTACCATTATAGTAATTTTCAGTAACTCTTTTTACAGAAGACGGACATAAATTGAAGGTTTGAATAACTTTGCACACAAAGACAGGAATTTAAGCAGGAATACAAACCACAAAAAGAAAATATACATTTAGGAGTCTTTTCAGATATTTTTTTTTTACAACTCATTTGCACAGTACAGCCTGTCATTTCTTTCTGTGTTGTTTGTACAGTCTCTTATTACAATGCAAACATCATAGATTTAAAGTCAATGTCACATCAAACTGAAACTTTAAGATGTGGATGAGGTATAATTTAAGGTGTTTTCCAAAGCTCTGAAAGAATCATGTTGATTTGAGCAGGAACCTTGTATGCATACCAGACAAGAGAATAGCAGGTCGCTTCCACTCTGTGATTTGTGACCTCTGTCCAATTCATCAGCGGTTGAGGATGAAAAGCACATGTTAAAAGAAGCAAAAGCCTCAAATCCACTCTGATTTTCAAGCACGTTGTATGCAAAACCCATTCATCTTTTTTTGAAGGTCTTTTATGGCAGAGCAACAGAACCCAGAGGAGCTCCTGAATGAAAAGATCTTTCATTATTAATAGAATATTAGCCCACATTAAGGTGGATGACTGAAGAATTGTGTTTCAACACTGCAGGGGCTGTAAAGTGCACAGAGGTTAATTCTCTGATCCAAGGGTAGATTTGGATCATTGTTTGTAGATAGACGAGGTTTTTTTCCAGGGGACAGGAATCATGTCTTCCCTTGCTGCTCCTCAGAGCTCTGTGGTAGATTGCCTGGTCTGATTAATCTTAATGAATTATGCAAATAGCCTTTATCTCAAATGATTTAGCAATGTTTCTGTATTGTTTTATTAATGCACTTTTGAATTACTCTGCATAATCACGTAGCCTTTCCTCAGCCTGTTTGTAATTCATCGCCAGCTCTTTATTATATCCATGGTGGTCTCTGGTGAATTGCAAGCAGGAATGAGAAATTAGTCATTACTGTAATTTAATGATTTCTAACCAAACAAGACGCAACCTGGATCACTAACCATAGCAACCCTCCTCATTTCTCTCCGTCAACATCAGTCCCAGGGGTCGGATCTTTGGGAGCAACCCTTCTACGTTTTTGCTTAATTAATTATGTTCAGTATAAGAAACATTCTTAGTGAATGCACTGTTTCAATTACAGAAGGAATTGACTTACAAAATATAAAATTGGCCATAAAGTGGTAGTTTGTTGGAAGTTTAGACACAATTATAATGAAATGAAGCATTGTTTCTCCGTCACTTGTCTTTTTTGCTATCAGAATACATTTCACAGGTTGTCCTTTACACAAAGATGGTTTAGTGACCTTTATCTAGCAGCAAAAAAAGACAGCTACAGGAAAAATTTACATTTCAAAACTGTATTTTATTATCATATCAACAAAAGGGCCTGCCCCTTTTATAGTGTGACTTCCTGTCCCTACGGTGATTGTAACATGCAGCTGAAATATAAATAAATTCCCAACCGTTTTCTTCTCTCCACCCGGCTCGGCTTCCACAGAGAAGGGAATGGAGCTTCATGTTGATATCGGTAATGATAGTAACCACATTATATGCGTAAAAATGGACAGACATTTTATTTGCCCTTGGATCCCACTGATTCAGCTGGCTGGCAAGGCCACCAGGACTTAATAATCCTTCTCCATTCATCCATTATCTGCCACCGTCCTATCACACGGCACAGCCTACCTCCATCGGAGGGTTTATTTCATTTAATGCCACACTGCAGTAATGCATTATGGGACATTATTCAGAGCAATGAAAGGAGCTAGAAACTGCAATAGTTTGGTCAGTTTATTGGTAGCATTAATATTTATCTTTTTTATTTTTAACTATGCATGATTTTTTTAACTGAAACATTTAGTTTGGGGAGAAATTTGAGCAACAAAAAAAACTGTTTTCAAATGGTCATTTTATGTATTAGGGTTGGAGGCTATCCAAACCAAACCGGCCCATGTGAAAAGTGTAATTAAATCCCGAGTTGACTGTGATTAACCGCCTGTTTTGGAAAGCTGAGTTCAATTTCACCAGGCACACCCAGGCCTCAGGCCTGCAACAAATCAATCAAACCAAAGAAATTCAAGAAACGATTAGAAATAAGGCATTGAGATTTAACACTTGTCTTACAACCCCCTTTATTTTATTAGTAAAGAAAGCACTACTATTATTCAGTATTGTGTATTTTTGACTTTGTTGTTATTTATGGTGTTTGTCACATAGATTTTGCCCCATAACTTTAAACAAGTCAAAAACCCTTCAGTGTAAATGAACTGAAATGGTAACACTTTATTTGAAGGGGGTGAATAAGACTGACATGACACTGTCATGAACATGAATAAGCCTTCATGAATATTTATGACTGTTGTCATAAAGCGTCATTCGGTTAATTATGACACTTTTAATACAAAGTTGACATTATTCAAAATGTCTTTGTTATGACAACTTGACATTAACCAATAAATCATTATTGATATAAATTTGTTATAAAAGTATTACTGATTGCACTTTAAAAATCAGGTAACTTTATGTTATTAAAGGTAAAGTTTAAACAGTAATGATTTCTTGGTTAATGTCAAGTTGTCATAACAAAGACATTTTGAATAATGTCAACTTTGTATTAAAAGTGTCATAATTTACCGAATGACGCTTTATGACAACAGTCATAAATATTCATGAAGGCTTATTCATGTTCATGAAGGTGTTATGTCATGTTTATGAAAGTGTCATGACAGTCTTATTCACCCCCCTTCAAATAAAGTGTTACCACTGAAATCATTAAACCGTTCAAGACTCACTTTCAGTTTTTGTAACCACTGAATAGTAGATGTTGCACCAAAGGTGACACAATCAGTTAGTAAGACGATTACTTTTGCACATAGGCTAGGCTGGGGTAGCGTTTGTCCATTAATAATAAACTCATAATTTGATTTAGTTATCTTTGGGTCATATATAAAATGTGTTAGATGATCTGACACATTTAAGTGTGACAAAAAAAAAAAACAAGAAAATTGTAACGGGCGGAGAATTTTTTCACAATACTCCATGCATCTGTAAAGTAGACATATTTTTCAAACTGGAGGGGAACATTTTCCTTTCTGTATTTTTTTTTTTTGTCCATGGCCTATTTTTGCATTTGCTGATTTTCACATTTCCGTTCCACCATGAGATCAAACCTGATTAGCTCTGAGTGATCCTCCCCCTCGTTTTATTTCCTATAACATTTGCTCAACATGCTGAGCTCCAGCAATTCACCAATACAACACAGACTGCAGTTATTCTAAAGAGAAATGTTCATTGAATCAGATTTATTGAGATAATATTGACATTTGAAATGAATAGCAGTCACCAGGCGTTGAAAGTAACAGATATCATTAAATCATTGTTGCAGAACTCAGCTACTTTGACCTTTCATTTATTTTTATTTCCAGATGTGTTTATTATGCGTGTCTTTCAAAAGTGGTCTTTAAAATTTAAAAAGAAGAAAGGCCAGGCTTTTTCAAACCAACAGAAAATAAGAAGAGATATCTCCTCTATAAGGCTAAAAGGAATCAAAAATTCTTATGACCTCACAAAAGCCTCCACAGAGAAATGCATCAAGAGTCCCAATGCTCCTTCTGGCAAGAACATGACACAAAATTTCACATCACATGTTTTAGGGTGGGTTTTTCATGGTCTAATCCAGTCTTCATGTCAATAAATATCATCATGGTTGAGTTTTCAGGTCCATTGGATTAGAAGTATAATACAAAGAGAGATTTGGTGGGCAGCAGAGTTGAAAGAAAGCTACTGTTGATGCTAGACAAAAAGTCAAGAATCTGTTTGGCATTGCAGTCTCATATGAATTTTCTAATACTTTTCATCTTTATGTTCACTGGAATGTCCCAGACTAATGTCTGTGTTGGTCCCTGGTTTTCGCCAGTCTATAAATCCCATGGTATCCAAAACGTCCTACTTGTGTTGGTCAAAGAAACATCTTGGTTCCAAATATCTATCCAGGAAAAATATGACTATCGAGTAACCTGGGAACAAAGAGAAAGAAAAGCAATATCAGAGTAAGATATATGGCTGCAGTAGATACAGAAAAGTAACTTCTTTTCACAGCAGTTTTTCAAACCTGTTGAAAGCCAAATACTGAGGTAAAATCTTCAGGTTAAGGATTTATCAACATGAAATGAATTATGAGTCCAGGTCTTAAACGTCTTGATGGCGGTTTTTCTGTCTTCCGCATGACTTCCATGTCCACAGAATCATTTGATTGCCTGTTAAAAATGCATTAACTCTTTTGAAACGTGTCTTTGCCCTTTCTTATTGAAAAGTATCTAAGACATTATACCCTGAGTTTTTAACTATTAAGTTATAAATTATCATATTATTTTATACAAGATCAAAAGAATATTTTCACTGTTGTGTACTACGTGATTTGGTGTCTGACACTTTTAATATGGAACAAATTATCCATCTATGCTACATATTTGTAAATTTATAATTGGCTTCTCTTTGAACTTTTTGCAGCTTTCCAGTGAAAGTAGCTGTTTGCATAGTTTTAATGGAGCGTAGAGCTGCTTCAGGACATGTAATGGAATCACACTTAGTCCCTGAAGCAACATGTACTCTTGGCTTCAGTGAGATGGCCTATTGATCGGAAAAATATCCCATAGAATCACAATTCCCAAAGCAAAGTACTTCCTTTGTGAAGCAGAAGAACAACTCTTTCGTCAATGTTCAACCTAAACTGCAATAAAATATGAAATGGGCTAAATTATCAATGACATTTCAAAACAGAGAACTGATGGTTGCTAGCCTTCCACTTCAACATACTTCACTCAGTTTAAAGTTCAGGAGAAGTAAGACTGGGAAAATATGTCTTTGTAGTCAGATAGTAGAAATAAATGATCAATTTAAATGATGTGCAAATTTTAGATGAAAAGTTGATAGAATGTAATTAATATTTATATGGTGAGTTTTTAATTTGGGCAACAAGGAATGTCTCTATACTTTTGTATGTAAACTATTGTTCAACCTCTTTAGTTTTTTATGGGAAGGAGTCTATTACACTGTCTGTACACATTGACCATATAATTTGATAATCTACTTGCTCTAACGTTTTTCTTAACTTTCAGCTTTACAAAACAACTCATGCAAAAAGATTGCACATTACCTAAACATTGTTGCTAACACATTTTAAATTAAATGCATTTTTTAACCCCCCTGTTATGTTGCGGGTCAAATTGACCTGTTTTGAAGTTATTTATTTTATTATTTTTAATAGCTGGACATATTTTTTTCTGCTTGAAACTTTTTCTATTTGTCTTAATAGGTACACTCTACATATAAATTGAAGATGGTTCATTTTTACATATTTACAACCCCCGTGCATCCACATATTACATAGATACTGTTCGGGTCAACTTTGCATTCAAAATGTAATATTTTTTTTCTTTTTTTTTTTACAAAAGATCAATTTCAAGGAGAATTATTGTGTTTTTGAGTGTAGGTTTTTTGAGTGGACATCAAAAATGTAAATTGCATTCTAAATGAGTAAATTCTTGTCATTGATCCTTTATTTGTGAGAAGAAAAAAACATCTTTGAACAAATATTGATTGAAATGGTTAGTATTAGAGTTAATAATCAGATATAAAAATGTTTTGGGGGATTTTTTTTTTTGGTTTCTGACATTGCATGATTAAACACTCCATGAGTCAAATTGACCCAGGAACATTATTGCTGTACCTCAGAAACAAACATAACAGGAGGGTTAAATTTGGCTTGAGAAGTCCACTTAACATGAGAAGTGCACTCCGAGACAGACTCTACTTCTTTTATATAAAATTATACTTGGTCTCGGTTGGCAGAATTGCCCAAACTAATGAAAATCTTCTTCTGGCTAAATTACCTGTTAGACAATTTTCTCCAAGCTTTATGCTTTTACAGAAAGAAAAACGTAATAAAGTAATGGCTATGGTTTTACTGTAAAAAGTGATTTCCTAGCCAAACCTTTGTTCTGAATGAATAGATTACAGAAGGTTACTAAAATGAAACAACTTTTTTTTTATTTTTTTTTATTTGTTTAGTAACCAATGTTTGCTCTCCCATTAGCCTTCACTGTGCCGGCAACCTTTAACATATATGTGTACATTTTTTTTAAAAAAGACGCTCTGGTGCATGTAGACACATAGTATTAAACTACTATATTCACCTTATTTAAATTGTATGGGTTTGCTATTAAAGCAGGCTCTTGTTCTGACGCTGTGCAGCCATCAGCAACAGTCTCTGTCAAAGTGTGACAAGTTCAAGGTATGCATATTTCCAGCTGGTATGTTTATAATTCAAACATCTGTGGTGCTGCACATTAATGGCAGACAGAAGTCTGCTGAAATAGAAACTGCATCATGGTCAATGACTTATAGAAATGAGGAATATTATTATTCATGACATGAATATGGCATACAGCAGTGCTTGTGTATGTTTTCATGAATATTAATCTAACATATGCAATTATAAAACATTTTGTAGATCTTCAACTTTAAGCAAGATTCTTAGAGTAAGCGGTGACAGCTTAGCTGTCTTTTTGACTTTGTGATTTGCCCTTTGTGAGCAGAAGCTTTAAAGTATAAACACAAACACACACCAGCAGGTAGAAAAGGTGTTCCTGTGAGAGTGTTTGCACATTATGGTTGTTCATTAAGCGGTTGCTGGGATGTCACCAGTTGAATCAGCATGCCATTGCCACAAGCAATCAGTAGTCTGAGTAATGCAAATCCAAATTTCTACACAAGAATGATTTTTATGCTATTTACAGGTGCAGCTGATGACACTGTGCTTGCTGTTTGGGGAGCCACAATTTAATTTTCACTTCCATGCGACAATCCTCAGGCATCATGGTGTGAGAGAGGATATGGAAATGATTTGATCTCACTGCGGTTGCAGAAGCAGGCAGCAGAAATGATGTATAAAAGGCAGAAATCTTGATTGTGGAAATTATTTTACCTCAGTTTGCTTTAATCTTGATATGAACATATTTTTTTATCTTAAATGTTGCCATTAAAAAAAACATAAAGATAGGATACAACTTGTATTTTCAAGGCTTTATGGGGATAAATAATATGGAATGAGGTATAAATCAAAAGGTGTAAAACACAAGAATGTAAGGTCGTATAAAAAAAATGAGAAAGGAGTTAGTGTGATTGGATTTTATGGGTGTCTTTGTTGCTGCTGAGTAAACACCAGAGGAGTCAAACAGAAGGCCCATTTTTATTCAGAATAAAACACAATAAGAAAAGAAGCTATGCAACCAAGTGAGGTACCCAGATGGAGTGGCTTGGTGAGCATAAGTTGGTTAACATTTTAGGTGATTTGAAAAAGAATTGGTACATCTAGAGGTACCAACATTACAAATAGAATGTATACCATCAGATCCAGGGAATGCTGCATCGATGCTTTAAATCAGGGGTCTCCAACTTTAGTCCTCAGGAGCCACTGTCTTAGGTGAATCCATGTTCAGCACAACAAAATCAGTTGAATAGTTTGTCACCTCTTCAGAACTTGCAATGGTGAATCACCCATTTTATTCAGGGGTTATGGAGGAGGCATGCATCTAAAATACGCATGTTAGGAAATTTATTATCATCCAAGACAGACCAGACTCAGAGACGATCATGTTGTTGTCCGCCAATAACTATAGATTACTCTGCCACATATAGATGAACTCCAATACACAGTTCAGGGTGACAGATATATTATTTCTCTTACCTCACCATTGATTCCAATGTCTGGCAACAGATATGCCAGTTCTTTGCAAAATGAATTAGTTATAGATTTATATCAATCACTGGTCGGTCAGTGTATCAAATTATATCCCAAGTAATTCTGCTTGGTTGACCTTTTTCTTGTTAGTGAGTGCATTTTACAAAAATAAAAAATCAAAAAATTACAGAATGCTCTGGTCTTAAAGCTGGAGTAGGGAGTTTTGATAAAACCGTGGACTTGACCTGAAAATTTCAACAATACCTCAGAGGTCCCTCTCCCTACGTTTGCTGTGTGGGGAAAGGGTGTGAGCAGCATGTGCACAAGCATGTTTGACATTGGTAAAACCTTCCAGCTGTCTCTGATTGGCTGTTTCTGACAATGACCACTGTATTTATGCAAAGGTCTCATAACATTGTGACAGTTTAAAAAAAAAATATTTAAAAAATATCCTTTTGTAAAAGTTACCTACAACAGCTTTAAGAAATATATAAGATGTAAAAAAAATCTAAGATGAAACCAACATATATTGTTGTACATATATGCACTGGAATAAATATGTCTTCCACTGTCTTGATACAATAAAACTTGTCAGATTTTATTTTTTATCTAGAATATTTTTCTCTAGCTCTATACAGTATATTCAGGCTCTGTTTGGTAATACAATCTTTTTTTTTTTTTTCAGTTTAAAACTGCACTGGCAGATTTTTCATACACTTTTTTTTAGCAGGTATAAAACATATTTTCATTGTGTCTTGGAAAAAATAAGTCTCTTAGACATCTATTCATCACTAACACTAACACTAACACATTCTCTGCAAGCTTCATAACACCTGTCATGTGGGAAGGATGTGTGGCTCTTTTGCCCTGTGTCCTCTGATTGATAGAAAGCAAAAAGCGGGAGCGACTGAGGTTATAATTCTTGACATCACCAGCAGCAGGACTATAAAACTAGCTGCTCTTAGAACATGTACAGAAAGAAGGAACAAACAGAGCTTATCGAGCAGGGCCTAGAGGGTGTTAAGATGTCGGATTTACTGATGTGACTTCATGAGGTGAAACAACACAACCATTTTTTATCAGCAATGCCACTAATGGGACATCTGGAGGGATTGATTTGCATCTCGGGATAAAGAAGGCATTGAAAGTGAGAAGTTAATTGATATCCAAAACATCAGTTTTGTGGAACACAAGAAGATTCTGTTCAACTATAAAAAAAACAAAACTAAATAAAGTCTATCGTTAAATAAGCAAATGAAAACAGAATTTCAAAAGATTCTTCTGAGAACCAAGAAATCTTTTTTTACTTGTTTTTGTTCAACAGAATCTTTGAAGACACTGGGAGCTTTGGTGTCATTCCACTAAAAACTTAAGGTTAGAAAACCTAAAATACATCACAGACCAGTATTTGCTTTTCTTGGTTGTGCTTTGGCATGCATTCAGCAGTTATTTGTTATGGTCTAAATGACAACAGGGGTGATTAAAGAACTTAAGCCACAGCTTTGTAATCTTTGTAATCACCCAAAAAAATTTACTAAGGGTTTTGACAGATCTAGAATTGATTTCTAATGACGGATGCCTTTATTTATACTTGCTTTGCATATTAATTAACTTTACAAAACATCTTCCTTTTAACGTAATGTTGAAAGAACTGCTTAACTGAAGCTAAATGAAATTTCAAAGGGAAGGTTTGTTCTCTGTTCTCAAAACGTCCGTGTCTCTGTGGCAAATATGAGGTGTTGAAATACACCTAATCAACTTACTAAATTTAATTTCTAGAGCTACACAATCACCTGAATCCCACTTTTGGTGAAACATGAATGTGTGCAATATTACAAGGCCGGAAACATGACTGTGGATTTATCACAAATGTGCTTTTTTGCAACAGCTACTCCCAGTGCTACATGTAACATTATTATCTCAGTTGCATGCAGACAAGATAACTAAATACATTTAACACAGTCTCTGCAGAATTCAGCTATGGATTTCTGTATGCCATAATTTTTGCTTTCAAATTTTCAAACATCTGACAATCAGTTAATTTGACGTTTTGTCAATATGCTGTTTTGTTAATCATCTTAAAAAGGATAAAGCAGAGATATTCCTAAAGGAGCTTGTATATTCCATTTAAGTCAAGTCCAATATTAGGTTCCTTTCTTTACTAAGTGTAAATGGTGAAAAAAACATATTGATCTTTCTATTATTTATTTATTTATTTTGCTCTAAACTATGTGTTGAATTTTCATTGGTTGGAATTTGTATCTGTGTAAAAGACTCCATGGAAACAGACACAGCACCAGCATCACACTGGAGACTGTGAGCCCCGTTTTCAGACAGCCCTTGTGTTCATTCCTCAGAAGGATGTTAAGTGTCCAGGAAGTTTAAGTACAGAGCCCTCTGGCAAACACAAGCCATCCCTCGCTGGCTCTCTGTGGGAGGCAGTAAGGCCATGAGCATGGAGCGACCCCCGCTGACTCCCTAATCAATAAAAGAGTCGAGGTTCTGACGGGTTCTACTAGCCACCTGGACCCCTGCTCATCTGTGCCTCTGTTTCTGCTTTCCCGTGGCTGTAACAGAGGGCATGAATTATTAACCCGGCTAAAATAAAAAGCTCTGCTTCATCCAGGCCTCCTGTATCCATGAATAATGGATGAGGCAGCTCAACTACTGGCTTTTGGTGAGTCAAACCGTGGTCTATGATAGATGGGGAAGGGTCTTATGTGTTCCCCTCAACCACACCTATCCCCTCACCTACCATCCACTTTTGGTCCAGCTCATCCAACAAAAACCTGAACACACATCCTGACAAGTTTCATTAATTTAGAAAGGAGTTTTAGCTTGAGCACCGCTGCACTCTGCCAGTACATCCCACTCAACAATTGTGCGTCATGGAGAATTTTGTATTTCTTTGTCCTTGGATGCCTTGTTTAGCTTTTCGTAGAAATCAGTCGTGGTCAAAGGCAGTTCAACGACAGAATCTGATTTTCCATCTCAGCTAAAAGTAAAACCTTGGAGAGATTGATTTGGATGAAATAGCTCAATGTCATAATGGTAAACTCGTGTGTACAGTCACATTTTCTATTACAGAGGTGATAATAGATTTTTTTCATATGCTTTATCACTCCATGTCTAATGTCTCACTTAAAGCTGGCTGCAGTAGGTAACATTCATAAAAATATGTATTGTTCTTGTTTATGTCATGACAGCAGAATATGAGACAGATAATCTGTAAAAAAAAATCAAGCTTCTTTGCCTCGTCCCTGCAGTCATAGAGTTACCTGCGGAAATACACTGCACCAGGCCAAAAGCAACCAATCAGAGCTAAGAGGAAGGTCTTAGTGCTGAACAAGGCGTAGGCCATTTTAAATCTTACTTTTTTTCAGCTGAAGACATTTTTTTTGTTTGTTTACTTGCATGGGTGGTTAGGCACACTATGAAGCTAAAAAATACAGTCTGTCAATTTTCAGTTTTCTAGCAGAAATAAAGGAGTTAGATGAAAACTCTTGTAGAAAAATTGCTTTAGATCCTCCCCTCAGTTTTACTGTGGGGTTCTTGGCAGACACTTTTACACATTTCCTGATTTTTGTAATGCCAGGTATTGTTGAAATACTGTTATAGTCAGTTGCTGCCATAATCACAACTTCACACTAAGAAATTTTTTCCCAAATTAACTTTTATGCGCAAGAAGAGTATTGGCTTTGGATTTCCCTCTTTCTTCTGAATTGTTCATAACTAAATCTTCATGTCCTAAATAAATCAGTAAATTACTGTAAGAGAAATACAATAAAATAACTATAGTTAAACATCTTCAAAAACCAGGGGCAATGGCTAAATAGATAGACATTAACTCCTGTGTTTCCTGTGTTTTAAGCCAACAGCATCAAGTCACACTTCACTGACTCTCCCGTTTCCCCCCCTGCCTACTCTGCACTGCACTCATCTGAGGCTAATAACACAATCTCATAGTGTTCTTCTTAGCTTCAGTTCCATTCCTTTACTCAACCTCTTCAATTATTCTAGAGTTTTATCCTAGGCCATTAAATTGGGAGTAATTTTTTCTGACTCTTAAAACCTAAAGAATACATCTTTATACTTGATGCAAGATTACCACCAATCATTTCCTTAAAAATGTGAATACAATTAAAAAATGAACCCACCTTTGTTGTCTTAACTTTGTTTCCTGTACTGCAGCTCCATCCTTTCAGATCTGGTAGCACTTTACACTCTTCTCCATCCATGCAAGGATGCATCTGGCACCACCACTTCTGTGCAACTATTGATGCTGTGATGAAAACAAAGCATTTTAAAAAATGCTGTACTATAAGCAATTATGCTGTTGTTGTCTGAAAGCAGAGCACAGTTCTAGTCTGTTTGTAGCAGCCACAAACCGATTAAGTCTCTGTGTCCATTTCAGTGATTGAATTGAGTATTTTTGATGTCAAGCATCCATGGAGATCTGTCATTTCTGCCCAAGTGTGTTTTCAGGTCTGAATCACAGACATGGGTGAATGTCAGGATAGTGAGTGTTGTAAGTAGGTGTGAGAAGGATGGTTGTGTGCACTGTAGGAGAAAGGTTGCATGCAGTCAAGGTCTTCTGCTGCTTTGAAGAAGCCTACAGGGGAAAAACACTTTCCCATGACATTTCCAAAGTGAGTAGAGAACTGTCAAAATCGAGCCCTGTCAGGGCTGTTACACTAAAAGGAGAAGATGGGGATCGATTCACCTGTAACTGAGGACACTGCTGACATGATATTAAATGACCTGGCCATCTGTCTGCTCTGATGGGCATGTCTGTTGTAGCTTCAATGGCAGACAAAAGGGTTACCGAATGAACTGCCTGAAGATTTGATTCAGAAAATGGTGACATCTCAAACAATATACAGAGCACAAAAGTCTCTTTGTCTTCTATGCAATAAACTTCTCATGCACAAATGAACAGCAAAACACTTGCCTGAGCCACACTGACAGGTAAGACAGCTTTGCTCTGTGTCACATATTTCTAATCTTGTGCCATTCTGGAATCATTACCAGAACTGTAATGAGAAGTCTGGCATACCGTCTACACAAGATGGAGCTGCTCTCGTTGTTCCCGCCACCTGTCCAGGGAAGCAGGAGCATTTGACAGTCTGGGATCTCTCTTCGATCTTGTTCTTGTTGCAGCATCGGTGTGCAGCAATTACCTCACAGGTTCCAGCTTTCACGTGTACTGGAAGCACAAATACAGGCAGTGGTTAGAATGCCTGTGACAGATCTTGCAACATGTTTCACAGCACAGTAATGCATACCAACTACAAATTTCAGTACAGTGTCTAGCAAAAACATGTTTGTTTGTTTTTTTTTTATTTCAAATTTTGTCTCGTTACAACCAGAAATGCTTGTATTTTAAATGGAGTTCATATTTTAGAACAAGAAATGTAATGACCATTTCTGAAGTGGAATGAAAATGATACATAGATTTAAACTTTTTTTTTTATAATTAATAATCTAAAAAGTGTCAGCCTCCATGAATCAAGATTTTGTACAACTGCTCTATGTTGCATTTACAACTGCAGGAGTTTGAATTATGCTTGTATACATTGTCAGCTTTGGACATGTAAATTACTGACTTATTTTTTGTGCATTAGTTCTTTGAAAAATAGCTCTATTTCAGTTAGAATGAAAAAAAAAAAAACATCAAGTCTGAACTTTGACTGGGACATTATAACACATAAGTATGCTTTGATCTAAGCCAGGGTCTGCAACCCTTGTCCTTGATATCTAATGTTCCAGAAGTATTAGATACAACCGCTCCTCAATGCGCCTGAATCAAATGAAACATCTTGCATACTGAATAGGTAATTCAATAATGCAGCACATTAATATTGTTGCACAAAATACTGAATAATGAAACAATTTAAGGGGGAGTTTTCCTAAATTCAGGTAACTGCACAATGTCTACATTGCCAAACCAAAATTAAACCATTAAGAATAAACTAAAAATTTCATCTAAATTGCATGATGAGGTGCTTTATGCAAACGAACAGGTCTCTTGTTTCAAACTAGATAATTTCACTAAGAACTGATATATGACATATGTTCTTATTTTTAGGCTTCATAAACTGATGGAATACCAAATAAGTTTGTCCTAATTTCTCAACCTACTGAAAACATCTTTTTGGCTGCATCTTCCCAGATTGTATTTTAGGTTTGCATTGTTAACTTATGTCTTGGCTACACTACCATTGAGAAATCATTAATTATTATTATTATGACTATCACTGTGAAGTATCAATTTATTATTACCAAGCATAAGGGGATAATAGGAGCTGGAGTGCACTATTGACAATGTGTCTTGAGGAGCATTTAGTTTATATTCCTCCTTGAAATTTGTCCACACAGTGTAATAAAATTGAAAAATCTAAGAAATAACAATATCAACAAAGAGAAGTAGAAAAGAAAAACAATCAGCATCGTAAAGATAAAAGATACATGGAGAGAAAACACAGGTGACTGGATTACAGTAAATACAGGTTTTATTTAAAAGGAATGTGACATAAATTTCACTTTGATCATGTGAAAAAAAATTAATAAAATTCATCACTCTCTTTGGGAAGATGGCTCGTGTCTAGTTATTGGGCAAACAGTTGAAACACAGCTTTAGTCTGTATTCTATGGTCTCATTTCATTCAGTTCATGCATTATTATGCATTAATCATTAAAGATCCATCTACATATTTAAACCAAAAAATGTTGCCACTCATCCTCTCTCTCTTATAATGTACAGTCTAAAACTGTCTGTCCTATTTTCCTTAGTTTTTTACTTTTTGCAAGAGACACATATACCTAAGGGATATTTTAGAAAAAGCACTGAGTACAAATATAATAAATCAAGCGTTAGACTCCTTAAAGTGTTGAATGCAATGTACTTTGCAGACCGTACCATCTTAAAAATATATTTTTAAAGATTATGAACGTCTAACACTTGAATGCATTATTTTGACTGTGCAACATACATATCAACCGCTATGTAGGTCAGTGGTTCCCAAACTTTTTCTTCTGCGACCCCCCCCTATGGATTACAAATGGCTGTCTGGTTGAAATGACGCGTGTGATGGGGTAGGGGGCATCGACTCTTTTGGGGGCAAAATGAATGTACGAAGCTGAAAATAGACACCAACATCGGTAGCCTACTTGTTAAGCTTAAGGTTCTGTAT